TTTTATGCAATGTACCAATTAAAATCAATAAACTACAAATAATATAATCTTCATTATTATTATTATTGTTGTTGTTGTTGTTATTATTATTATTATTATTATTATTATTATTACTATTATTATTATTGTTGTTGTTATTATTATTATTATTATTATTGTTATTATTTTTATTATGAAATTCGGAATATAATTGTGCTCTTCTATTCTAATTCAATCCGCTTTTAAAGTACATTTTAACATAATTTTTTATAATTAAATTCACCATATATCAGTTATTAGATAAAAACTAAGACATTTTATAAGATGATCCAGACTTCTGTAATAATATCGTTAATACATTTTTTTCAAAATAACTAATATAATTGATAATACATAATACGATTAGTGATACAATATTTATTATTAATCTTAAATTCAATTATTTGCAATTAATTACATTTACATTTTTTTTAAAAAAATTACAAATTTTTCATAATATTTCAGTTATGTTAAGTTTATAAAATACACTATTCATTAAATCATAAGTAATTGAAATTTTTTTATATATGAGCGTATATTGATTTTATTTTAATATCCATTAGCGCCTTTAAATATTGTATAACCATTTTTTTTTGTAATATAAAAATAGACTCTATATATATATATATATATATATATATATTATTTTTATTGTATTCGATTGTATATTATTAAGTATTAGATATTTATAATTATAAATTCGATTATCAATTTTGCTTGTGTAATTAAAACCGTTTTAATATGTACGTTTTAATATGCCAATCTCCTGTAGTTTCTGTCATTACACTCAATTTTAAGATATTTCGTACTACCTAAAATAGTGTTTTTCCAAATTCATCTCTAATTAAAAGCTTTTATAATATGCAGTTTATGTATAAATTGAATTCCGTATAAATTTATAAATAAATTGATTATTAAATAAAAATCTAATTAATTTTCAAGTTAATAATACCCCCAGTAAAATAATATCCACGGATTATACAGAAAACTCTTGCATACCTCAAATATTATTATAATTGTACGCATAATAATTACACTTACATTTTATTTATAGACTAATCTAATACTAAAAATAATTATAAACCACCTCAGTTTATTTAAAATACAATCATGGTTTAATATTTTATATATTAATTTATTTATCACCGTTCAGAAATTAAAATATTTTCTCTCTATAGATACAACTGCTATTCGTAACTCGTCAATTCTATTCATACATTAAAATGGATCGATTGTTACTTGTAAAGTAACACATTAATTTTTTCGCGATTTAGCCAAAACAAGAATTAGTGTGTGTGTGTGTGTGTGTGTGTGTGAGAGAGAGAGAGAGAGAGAGAGAGAGAGAGGGAGAGAAAGGTTGAGAGAATATAATACGTATTCACATTACTGTGTGCTTGTTTTACGTTTAACCTACGCGATTTTAATTACTAGCTATTAAATTCTCTCATGAACTGCTCGGATTTCTTATAGTATGCTCTGATTGATCATCTTTATCATTATTCATCATTTATTTAAATCTCCTTATCTCTAAGGCAATAGTTTGAAGATTAGTAAAAGTCAGTTTCTATGCACGAAAAATGATTTTGGCCCATCACTTGTCGAAATAATTTGACATACTCGTACGTGTATTCATAAAAAATATCTTTTATAAAGTTCAATTACTAACTTTTCTGATCAACACTTATTATGCATATACATTTGATGTCGCATATTTCTGTATTAAAAAAAAAAAAATTGCAGGTTCCTTATTGGACCTCCACGTTATTTCAGTCTCGCTTTTCGCTCACTCAATTCCCTCGACGTCAAGTATCCACTGAGACGAAGACTCTCGATATCCTACGTGACAGTATTAAAATTTTCACAATTTAATTAATTTTAGTTTTATCTATTTCCATAAAGTTATATTCTAAAAATTTCACGCACGTGTTTATTTATATATTTGTATACATGTATATATTTGTATACATGTCCCAAGTAGTATGATTAGTGACTTTAGAAAATGAGAGCGATTATCTTTGGGTATATTTTTTTAATAAATAATAATAAGTTACCTTCTATAATGTGTAAAATATTATCTTAACACGTGAAAACCATTAGTTTAATGTATTAATATATTTGAAAAAAAAGGATAATTTAATATGAATTAACATTTTAGTCTGTACTACGCGTCAAACGTATGTTTAATAATTATTACCATACTTTTAAATAATGTATTTTCCACTTTCAATACTTTTTAAGCGCAAAAAATCTTGTAATCTTGTAATCTTTGTAATAAATCAACTAGTAATCCCAATAGTGCAACTAGAGAATAATCCAACAATGGTACTGTAATATTCCAGGCGATTCTTTTCAAAAATTTCTTATCTTTTCCTTCATAGTCTCATTGAAAATTCGTGCTATAAATAAGTTAAAAGCCATATTCTATCCATGTATTATTGTATTTTTTGAATTTTTACAGAACAACTGTAAATTTATTATTTTTTTTTTCTTGAATCATCAATTGCTCTTTTATAAAAATAGTTACCGTATGTTCGACTTAAATATAGTAATATTGACAATCACGTTGATAATTACATGAATGAATAACTTGGTCGATTGCTAAGTTCTGCATTAAAGAAAATTTAAATTCTCGTATTAAAATTCAATATTTAATATGTAAACATTTAAAAGCATAATACGTATGCATGATTTTGCTTATTTAAACTTTTAAAATAGTTATTCATCAGTACAGAAGAAAATACGTTTGCTTGAAAGTAAAACAACTATCGAATATAATAAAATTTAAAGTACTTTCCATTTTTTAACAGGAAAATGGCCGAACTTTCGACAAAGTTTAAACTAAAGATCTTAAAAGAAGAATAAAAGTTAGAAGTCTCAATGCTTATTTTAAAGTGCACTCGGTCATTTAAGACAATTTCATTTAATTGTAAAACAGACTGATGTTATACTACAACTACAACTCTTACTATAACTACTGGTGCTACTGCTGCTGCTGCTACTACTACTACTACTACTACTACTACTACTACTACTACTTCTATCTCTAAAACTAAATCTGAAGGTAACTCGAAATTTCTAAACATTAGACTATGCTTTTTCTATTTTCCAGCATTTATTTAGAAATTATCTTATTAGGTTCGTATATTCTGTCCGATACTTCAAAATTAGAAAATTGGTATGAAAAGTAGGTGATTATTTTTCAATGTAAATGCTTATATTCTATATTTTAAGGGAAAATCTACATTTAAACAGTCATTAGCAAACGACAGTACGTTAAACACAATTTGAAATGATTACAGAATTATTGAAGATCTCATTATGTGAATTTACTCTTGTGTAACGGCTTAACATGATAAATCTTCTTTATTCACTTTTCAGGTATTAACGAAGCATCGATTATTCGAGTTAAAAACTCATAAACTTAATTAATGTAAAGTAAAATAATATTGCATATTTCAATAATTGATAAAATAGTCCTTTATGAAGCCTTCGTTTTCTCGTATTTTTCAATCCAACTAGCTGTAAACTTATATTTTAGCAATGTCAACTTTTACGTACTTCAAATAATTCACAATAAAAATTTGATTTTTACGACGATCTCACAAACATAAACGTATTCAATAGATTTGTCGATATTAGTTGAATATTAAATTGATAAATGATTACAGTTATTCGAAAAAAAGTTTTCACTCAGTGTATGTAAAATACAAATGTTAAAAAGTTTTCCTACAAAGGAATTTACACTATCTAATGATCAATAAAAACTTTCGGTTATCCAATTTAACAATAAACACTCTAAAAAATCAATAAAATATAGGTATTTTTTTTGTTTTTATTACATCTGTATAATTTAATCGATTATATTGTATGAATTGTACAGTAAAATTAATTTATACATTTTGTTTGTATAATTGTCGAGAGTCAATTTATTATTCACGATAATTTTATGAATATAATAAGTATTCAAATTATTAAAGTAAATAAAATGTTTGTGCGAGTTAAATATTCGATTCTTTCGAATAATTTAGAGAACGAAGGATACTTTTTCCTCATATAGATTTCTTATACTAATGAGTTCGAAATTTAAAATTAATTTATTCAAAACTTCATTGAACTTCAAACAGTCAAACATGAAGAATATCTCGTAAGAATAATCGACAATTTAATTGACGAAAACCTGCTAATATTTTTATTGGAAATAGGAACGGCATATGCAACAGTCGCATGGCATTTTTAAACCGTGGAAAGTCTGATATTTTAATGTTCCCATCCTTATTAAACTTCTCATAAATTTTCCTAGTCTTTCCGGTATACAAACGTTGTTGAAGTGCTCGCTATTCAGTGACAGAAATGATCTCTCATCCTCTGGAAAAGCCGTATTGACATCGGCTCGTGATTGGCCAGGTTCTGGTATCTAAAGGACTCGTGGCTCGTATCCGCGTAAACAAAAGCGACCCGCCATGAGGATAAAAAGCCGTGCTCGTGTCGCTCGTCAGGCGTCTAGAATCTCAGATCGAGATAGCATAGTGCGATTGGGGCTAGCGATGGTGACGGTGGTAATGGTGGTGATGGTGGTGGTGGTGGTGGTGGTGGTGGTGGTGGTGGTGTTGGTGGTGGTGGTGGTGGTGGTGGTGGTGGTGGTAGTG